TATATATATCATTTGCATCCAAGACAATTCTTAAGTACAGCTCTGAAATCAAATCTTTTGAATATTATTTAAGTCGATTGTGCTTACATTATTTTATTTTGATATATGTTACATGAAAGTGTATATTATTCCATAATGGTTTGTTTTGTCGACCTTATTTCTTATGTTTGATATTTGATGTAAATAATTGCGTTAAATAAAAATTTGCAATGTCTTTAGAAATAAATAGAAGTCTTATTGCAGATTGTGCCAAATTTGGTAAGAATCCTGAAGAATTTGATCCTAGCCGGATATTCGCCCGAGCATGACGTATCCGGAGTGTCGGATCCCTTCCTGCAAGTGAAAATACTGCGTCTTCTTCGTATTCTGGGACGCAACGACGTCGACGCGTCCGAAGCCATGAATGATATCCTTGCTCAAGTCGCCACCAATACGGAAACCAGCAAAAACGTTGGTAACACTATACTATACGAGACAGTTCTGTCCATCATGGATATCAAGTCGGAGAGCGGACTTCGAGTTTTAGCAGTCAATATACTGGGCAGATTTTTACTGAATAATGACAAGAATATCAGATACGTGGCCTTGAACACGTTGCTGAAGACGGTTTACGTGGACACGAGCGCAGTGCAGAGGCATCGATCGACAATTCTAGTAAAATATTTATCGTTTTTTTCTTTACGGTGAAAATAAAATGATTTATTGTAACTAATATCTTGTCTTTGACATTCATTTCAGGAATGTTTAAAGGATCCGGATGTGTCAATTAGAAGGCGTGCAATGGAATTGAGTTTCGCGCTCGTAAATTCCAATAATATCAGAAACATGATGAAAGAATTGCTCTTGTTTTTGGAACGGGCCGATCCGGAATTCAAAGCTCAATGCAGCAGCAATATCGTGATGTCCGCGGAAAGATTCGCTCCGAACAAACGTTGGCATCTAGAAACTCTATTTAAAGTGCTCGTCGCTGTATGTATTTTTACGATATCGTAAAGTGGAATTCGAACGCGCGAAACAATCATGGTTATGGAATCTTCTTGTAATCTTTAGGCCGGTAATTATGTACGTGACGATGTGGTGGCGTGCACGATACAATTAATATCCGAGACGCAGGCTCAACAGAATTACGCTGTTAGCGCATTGTGGCATGCGCTAGAAAAAGATACGTCAGACAAGCAGCCTTTGGCACAAGTTGCCACATGGTGTATAGGCGAGTATGGTGATCTATTGTTGTACAGTCCGCCATCGGAGGATGTCGAAACTCCAATCAATGTAAGTTCGATTATAGTAGTGATGGTATTCTACACATAACAATACTTCAATATTATTGATGGAATGTTTAAACCATTATTTTTTGCCATTGATCACATTTTTCTTGAAAATTTTGTTGTATATATGATTATGTGATCTCTCGTAATAATTTTTATTATTTTATTATGGAACTTTTTATTATAGTTGACAGAGGATGAAGTTATCGATGTGTATCAGAGATTACTCTGGAGTCCTCAGAACACTGTGGTTACGAAACAATATACCTTATTGTCTCTTACCAAATTGAGTACGAGATTTCAGAAAGGTCACGAGTGAGTATCGCGCGAGTTTGCGCGCGCGACTATCTATATAAAAGATCTATTTTAGAAATATATAATCATGTAATATTTTGTTATTACAGGAAAATTCGTCAGATCATAGATACGTTTGGTAGCAATTTGCATATCGAATTACAGCAGAGAGGTATCGAGTTCTCGCAGTTATTCCGAAAGTACGATCACCTGCGGCCCGCGTTACTCGAGAGGATGCCGCCCATGGAGACCGCTCGACCACAGGCTAATGGCATCATAGGCATGGTGAACGGTGAGCCGGAACCAGAAGACGAGAAATCCTCCACGCTTTTAGAATCAACCACGACTACATCCGATTCAGTAAGCATATAGTATTAATATCTTTTTCACACACACACA